GGGATAGTTGCCCAATACACTATGCCTGGTTCTCCAGACCAGAATGGTGTGGCAGAAAGAAGAAACCTAACCTTAATGGACATGGTACGGAGTATGCGTAGCAACTCCAAGCTTCCTAAATTCTTGTGGACAGAAGCTCACGGCTCGGCTGCGTACATATTGAACCGAGTTCCAACCAAGGCTGTTCCAAAGACGCCTTTTGAGTTATTCAAAGGAACCGAGTTTGTGCGTGTTTGGGGATGCCCGTCTGAAGTAAGAGTTTATAACCCACATGAAAAGAAACTGGACCCAAGGACCATTAGTGGATATTTTATCGGATATGCTGAAAGGTCTAAGGGATACAGATTCTATTGTCCATCTCACAGCACTAGGATTGTGGAATCAAGAAATGCAAAGTTTCTTGAGAATGACTTGAATAGTGGGAGTCATCGATTTCAGGACATTGTTTCTGGAAGAAATCATACTGATATTCAGCCTTCCACTTCAAGTGACAGATTGATTGTCATTCACAACACCCCTCAGGTTCAAACAGGTGTTGGACAACCAATTGTTGAAGCTCCACAAACTACTAATGACAATCCAGTAGATCAAGATGTTCAAGAATTGCCATAAATTATTGAACAACCAGTTGCACAACATGATCCTCAAGAAAATGTTGATACAACTTTAAGGAGATCTACTAGAGTAAGGAAATCAGCAATACCTAGTGATTATGTTGTGTATCTACAAGAGTCTGACTACAACATTGGAGCCGAAAATGATCCTGAAATGTTTTCACAAGCCATGGATAGCAAGGAATCAAATTTATGGTATGATGCCATGAAAGAAGAGATGAATTCTATGGCAACTAATGGAGTATGGGATCTTATTGAGTTGCCTGATGGTGTCAAAGTCATAGGATGTAAATGGGTCTATAAGACAAAGAAAGACTCATTAGGCAACATTGAAAGACATAAAGCAAGACTCGTTGCTAAAGGATTCACTCAAAAGGAAGGAATCGACTACAAGGAGACCTTTTCTCCTGTATCTAAGAAAGATTCCCTTCGTACCATTCTAGCATTAGTTGCACATTTTGACTTAGTGTTGCAACAGATGGATGTGAAAACAGCATTTCTCAATGGAGAACTAGAAGAAAAGGTTTACATGAAACAACCAGAAGGATTCTCTTCTAGTCGTGGTGAGCATTTGGTGTGCAAGCTCAAGAAATCCATATATGGATTGAAACAAGCCTCCCGTCAATGGTATTTGAAGTTTCATGATGTTATCTCTTCATTTGGATTCGTGGAGAACAACATGGATCAATGTATATACCAGAAGGTCAGTAGGAGCAAGATTTGTTTCCTTATTCTATATGTGGATGATATTTTACTTGCAACTAATGATAAGGGCTTGCTATATGAAGTGAAACAATTTCTCTCTGAAAACTTTAACATGAAGGATATAGGTGATGCGTCGTATGTCATTGGCATTAAAATACACAGACATAGATTTCGAGGTATTTTGGGTCTGTCTCAAGAGACCTATATCAATAAAGTTTTAGAGAGATTTCGGATGAAAGATTGTTCACCCAGTATAGCTCCCATTGTGAAGGGTGACAGGTTCAATTTGAACCAATGCCCAAGGAATGATCTTGAACGGGAACAAATGAAAAGCATTCCTTATGCTTCAGCTGTTGGAAGCCTGATGTATGCTCAGGTTTGCACGAGACCTGACATTGCATTTGTTGTTGGGTTGTTAGGTAGATATCAGAGTAATCCAGGTATGGACCACTGGAAAGCTGCAAAGAAGGTACTGAGGTACCTTCAAGGGACCAAAGACTACATGCTTACATACAAACGGACTGAAAACTTGGAGGTGATTGGCTACTCTGATTCAGACTACGCTGGCTGCATTGATTCGCTTAAATCAACTTCAGGAGATGTTTTTATGCTAGCCAGTGGAGCCGTATCTTGGAGAAGCGCAAAGAAAACATTGATTGCTACTTCCACTATGGAGGCTGAGTTTGTATCTTGTTTTGAGGCTACCTCGCATGGTGTATGGATGAAGAGTTTCATTTCTGGGCTTAGAATTGTGGATTCGATTTCTAGGCCATTGAGGATATATTATGACAATTCAGCTGCAGTTTTTATGGCTAAAAACAACAAAAGTGGTAGTCGAAGCAAGCACATCGACATCAAGTATCTAGCCATAAGGGAACGTGTGAAGGATAAAACAGTGGTTATTGAACACATTAGCACTGAATTGATGATTGCTGATCCTTTGACTAAAGGCATGCCACCATTGAACTTTAAGGATCATGTAGATAGAATGGGACTTGGTTCCTTTATGTAAATTTCGTTGTAAGAATAAATGTTATTTTTAATGAAACTTTATTTGTGATGTTTTATCATATTTGTTTTCCTTGTGTACACATTTATTTATTAGTTGAGAAATATCATTAATGTTTGGACCTAGAATAAACATAGGGTTTATTCACTAAGTTATATGGGATATAGTTAAGAAATATTATGCATTGTAATACATGGAAGATAATACTCGTTTTAGAGGACTTATCGTCATGATTCATGTATTTTATTTCTTATTAAAAAGCATTCCTTATGCTTCAGCTGTTGGAAGCCTGATGTATGCTCAGGTTTGCACGAGACCTGACATTGCATTTGTTGTTGGGTTGTTAGGTAGATATCAGAGTAATCCAGGTATGGACCACTGGAAAGCTGCAAAGAAGGTACTGAGGTACCTTCAAGGGACCAAAGACTACATGCTTACATACAAACGGACTGAAAACTTGGAGGTGATTGGCTACTCTGATTCAGACTACGCTGGCTGCATTGATTCGCTTAACTCAACTTCAGGAGGTGTTTTTATGCTAGTCAGTGGAGCCGTATCTTGGAGAAGCGCAAAGCAAACATTGATTGCTACTTCCACTATGGAGGCTGAGTTTGTATCTTGTTTTGAGGCTACCTCGCATGGTGTATGGATGAAGAGTTTCATTTCTGGGCTTAGAATTGTGGATTCGATTTCTAGGCCATTGAGGATATATTATGACAATTCAGCTGCAGTTTTTATGGCTAAAAACAACAAAAGGGGTAGTCGAAACAAGCCCATCGACACCAAGTATCTAGCCATAAGGGAACGTGTGAAGGATAAAACAGTGGTTATTGAACACATTAGCACTGAATTGATGATTGCTGATCCTTTGACTAAAGGCATGCCACCATTGAACTTTAAGGATCATGTAGATAGAATGGGACTTGGTTCCTTTATGTAAATTTCGTTGTAAGAATAAATGTTATTTTTAATGAAACTTTATTTGTGATGTTTTATCATATTTGTTTTCCTTGTGTACACATTCATTTATTAGTTGAGAAATATCATTAATGTTTGGACCTAGAATAAACATAGGGTTTATTCATTAAGTTATATGGGATATAGTTAAGAAATATTATGCATTGTAATACATGGAAGATAATACTCGTTTTAGAGGACTTATCGTCATGATTCATGTATTTTATTTCTTATTATGGTGAACGATGGAATATATGGACCAAGTGGGAGAATGTTGGATTTCTGTTGGATTTCTTTTCCTTAAGTTTCGGTAACCAACCGAAACAATCCTCTCAAAACGTGGTCCATTATATTTCCCACTTAAGGAACGTGATTGGTCACGTTCATCTCACGTTTATCTGCAGTTGTCCACCGTTGCCCACGTTCGGTGCACGTCCGTGAAAAACTCTGTGATGGGCAGAGTCTATAAAAGAGGATAGAGCACATTAGTTTTGGGTCCCTAAGCCTGCTATCTCCATTCAGTCAGTATATACACCATCAAACGAGAGATTGAAGAGGTTTAGAAGAACCTAAACCCGAGTTTCTATTTTTTCACCCAGAGCTTCAATGGCCGGAGGTGTTTTTTCTCGTTCCGTTCATTTCAATTCCGCATTGATCTAATTGCCATTTAGGATCCTTATGAGCACGTTTAGATCATTTAGAAATTCTAACATTATGATTTATAATTTTTTACAGTATTTTTTTCATAAAAAATACACATAAAATGAGAATAATTTTAAATCTTAATTCTAAATTCATAAATTAAAAATCTATTAATGTGTTTAAAAACGTCATCATATGGTAGAAGAGGCCTGCCAGCCTAGACGCTGCCAGATAATTTTCTCTCTCCACGTGGAAAGAGAAAGCCAAAGGAACACATTCCCCGTTTTCTCATTCCTATTGGCCAAAAGAAAAGTGACCGTTACAAGCTTGAACGTTAAGCATACCGTTTTATTTATGTACCGCACAACTCTTGCTCTTCTGGAAAGGATCAATCAATTCAACACTTCTCCAGATTCCTCTCACCTAAAACCCTCCTCCATTATATACCCAACCTTCTCTCATCCCCTTCTTCGTCCACATCTCTCTCTCTCTCTCTCTCTCTCTCTCTCTATATATATATATATATATAGCTTTGATTCTAAGGAAGCTCAGAGAAACAGGGGAATTAAATTCAAAATGGGTATGGTGGTGGTGATTTCTCTGCCATTGATTTTGTTCTGCTTACTGCTTGGTTTTGGATGCTACTTCTTGGGCCGAGCCAGAGGACGACAAGACGTACGCACCAACGCGCAGATCTACGGCGTCCCCGCTCCGCCGCCTGGCGCCGCCAATCCTTTCCCTTCTCCGCCGCCGTCCCACTCCAAACCCAATATTTCTTCCAATGTTTAGACCCTTCAAGTTTCTATTTTTTTGGGTTTGTGGAAATGGAATGTGATAAATGGTGTGGCTTTTTTTTTTTTTTTTTTAATGTGATTTGTGTTGTGGGAATTTTGAGTATAGATTAAAATAGCCTAATTGGGCACTTTTAATATATGGGGTTTGATTTGGGTGTATATTGGACTATATTTGTTGTAAGATGGATTTAATAAGAATTGTAGAAAGATGATTTTCTTAGAAGCATTTCCGATCTTCTCTGATTTTCTTGTTTACCAATTTAAAAGATAAGAAAAGAGGGACTATATCAGTTTAATATCTGTATTTTTAAGAAGTGATGCAGTAATGCAGCAAAGTTTCTTTTAAAGCCTAATTTTAATTTTAAAGAAAGAAAGGAAAAAAGCAAAAAAATCAGCTGATAAGAAGTTAATGTATTCAATGAGTTCACTATAAGTCGTTACAACGGTATTATAAATATTTATAAATGGTTGATGAATGTTTTCAGCCTTATATTTTTAGACTTTCTATTATGCCTAATCAAAGGCAATAATTGAAAAAAAAATTAGTTAGTAGGTCATTGATTGCAAGCAGTTGTGGAAGTTGATAAATGAGTATTTATAAACCTCCTTTATAGTTTTCTCTCGTTTTTGGACCGACCCTTCACATTCCATAACATGTTTTACACCTCAACTTCTTTGAACTCTGGCCCTCAACATGTGAAACGATTCCTTCCCACTCATCACCATCTAGATATAAGTGGAAAAGCATATATAGATATAAAGAGAAAAAAAAAAAAAAAACACAAATAGCCAAATATCAAAGAGATCTGCTCTATATATACCAATATGATTTCACTTTTTTTTTTTGCCTAAGGTATTACTTATAGCTCCAAAAGCCACATCTTCTCCCTTCCTTATGAAGATCAAGACTTCATCTTCAGTAGTTGGGTTTTTGATAACCTTCCTCATTGTTTCCTCATTCTTTTCACTCACTCTGTCACTCTCAACCTGCGAAATTCGTCTCTCTAGGCGTCAACTAACCGCCACTCCATACACCACAATTAACGAATTCTTGGTTCCTCACAACCTTATAAGATCTGAGCTTGGACTCCCTCCCCTCAGATGGAGTAGAAGGCTTGCCAATTATGCCTCTTGGTGGGCCAACAATCGACGGGGCGACTGCTCGTTGGTCCACTCGAGGAGCGATTACGGCGAGAACTTGTTCTGGGGCAGTGGGAAGGATTGGAAGCCAGGTGATGCAGTTGCAGCATGGGCCGAAGAGAGAAGGTACTATGACTACTACACTAACTCGTGTTACCAAAACCAAGATTGTCTTCACTATACACAGATGGTTTGGAGGAGCACAATGAAGATTGGTTGTGCCAAAGTCACTTGTTACAATGGGGACACTTTTATTACTTGTAACTATGACCCCCATGGGAATGTGATAGGCCAAAGACCATTTTGAAATGTTAATATATATGTTTTTGGTTTTTGATTTTGATGGTGGTTAAAGTAGTAATTTATGGATTTTGATCATGAATGTCCAAACATTTGTATGTAGTTTTCTTGATTAAACGGTGTCATTGGCAAGCAGTTGTGAGACTCAACATTTTGTAACATAAATTTTAGTCTATGACTACTGCGTTTGCATTATTAGAACGTTCAAATTCAAGGCAACTATAGCATGGCATTTGTGCTTGCGTAAGATCACTTGGATAAAGTTTGGACACCATTTGTGAGAATAACTTTTTTTTTTTTTTTCATGTTTTGATATACATATATAAATGAGTGGTTTTAATGGTTACTCCAATATTAATTGATCGATGAGTATCGTTATTTTAATCATAAGATATTAATCCAACGATAGTAATAAATTGACTAAAAAAATAAAATAATTAATAAAATTAAATTTTTATCACTCATTAAATTTATATATTTAGTGATAACCATTAATAAAAACAACGTAACTATTAAAAACTCATCTATATAAGTTGGCTACTGCAATGTTAATGACGTGGAAACCTGAGCTAGAAAGACTATGAGCTTGAGTTTGTGGTTATCGCCGCCTTGCCACCTTGGCAATGCCAAAATTTGCATGCTATACGCGTTTGGATTGGCACAACTCACAAGAAGAACATATTACGTACACTACGTGTTTGCGGGACAAAAAGAAGAAACATCACGGAAAAAATCTTGTAGTTCTTGAACTTGCGCCTTTAAGCTATCAACTTTGACAAATTTTACATCCCAAGACTGTCAAACACATTTTATCCTCATCACAATAAGTTTTTGAATCAAAAAAAATTTTCTGCTGTGTTTTTCAGAATTCAACTTTTCCAGCAATGTTGAATCTTGTCCTTCGTCAATAAAAAAAGGGAAAAAGAATTGTCTCCTATTCGTAATATCTTATTTGCTATATACATACATATCAACATGAATTTGAAGAAACAAGAGCAGCAAGAAAAATTTCAGACGGCAGAAGCCGCATGTCAAGGTCGAACGCTTCCCTACCTGGCAGTTTATACGAGAACATTGCACCAAGAACTATAAACATTGTCACCTTCCTTCAGCGATAAGCTCACTGACCGGTAATTCAGAGACGCTGTACGGAGAAGGGAACAACGGGTCATTCACAGGGCCCGGAACTATAGCATTGCCATCCTGAATATTGCCCTCATTCAAATTTGCCATATCCCTGTAACCCAATTCTGTTAAATAACTTGGCTTTGATATGTCGGTGTCTATCTCAGCATCTCCTGCAAGCATGGCCACAACACGAGACATTGTTGGCCGCAACGTTGGCGATGCTTGAGTGCACAAAAGTGCTACCCGTATCAATTGGATCACCTCGCGTTCATTAAACTCTGTTAATGTCGGATCCACCAGCCCCAAACTTCGTCCACTTTCGTGTGAGGTCCAAGCCTGAGAATGTTGAAGCAATGTATTGAATCCTTTTGAACAGATTTTGGAACGGGTTAAAAGAAGAAACGCTGTTTCATTTTCCTTACCGACTCAAGAAGATAGATTATTTCACCATCCTGACTATTATAGATGTTCGGTTTACCGCTAATAACCTCCAAAGCAACAACACCAAAACTAAAAACATCAGCCTTTTCCGTCAAGCGCCCACGTAATGCATACTCTGGTGCTAGATAGCCTCTACAAGATAATAAAATGCCTCAATAATTCTATTATCTAATAGCATTCTTATGTCAGCACCCATCATGGGACGCCTCTGAAAGTCGTTTATATTTGATGACTATTATATGAATATGAATTTGGTACCATGACGACCAGTTACCAATAAGCTCTGCTATTGCAGATTTTCTTCATTCCACTCGAAATCCATGAATAAAAATTTTATCTAGTAGAATTTCTAATGGGCCTAAACCGTAATGAAGATGATTAAATAGTTGGCATGCAATAATATGATTACCTTATCAGCAATTTAGGCAAGAATGGCCTTGTCAATAGATTAGAAAAACTTACATTGTCCCTGCAACTCGCGTGCTGACGTGGGTTTTGTTCTCATCATAGAGCTTTGCCAAACCAAAATCTGATATTTTAGGACAAAGCGCTGCATCAAGCAAAATATTACTAGCTTTTACGTCTCGATGGATAATCCTTGGTCTGGATTCTTCATGAAGATAAGCAAGTCCTCTTGCTGTTCCCAAACATATATTGAAGCGGGTAGGCCAGTCCAGGTGCAAGTCATTTTTCCCTGAAAGATTGATCGCTTCATCCAATTAAAAAGACAAGAAAAAAAACTTTTATAACAAGTAGAAAGGAAATATCAATGCATAAAAGTAAAAAGGAAGAAAAGAACAATAATAAATAATAAACAATGTGTATCTTGTATATATCCAGTGTTCTTTAACCATTCGGGCAGTAACTTGCATTTGCTTGAAAGAAAATCAAAGCAGGCAAAGAATCTTTCAATCCAACGACATCAGACAATTCAAATAATATTTGCTTGCTTTTCTTTGCAGCAGCAGAAAATATAAGAAAAATCAGCTAAAACATAATTTTGAATAAGATTTAAGACCTCTAGTAAGAGACGGCAGTGGATTCTGCAGAAACTTGCACATGCATTTATGAAAATTAAAGCAGGCAAAGAATCCTGCCATCTAACAACATCAAATAATTTAAACAATATCTTCTTAATTTTCTTTGAAGAAAAAGAAAATGACGATGAATGAGTTAAATTAAAATATCAAATATGATTTGATTTTTTTAAGGGAATGTGGTGTGTTCTGATTTAGAGAGTGGGTGAACTCAGGAGAACAATTCATACCAAAGAGTGCCTGATCAAGGCTTTTGTTTTCTAGATATTCGTAAACCAGAATTCGTCTATTTCCTTCAATGCAGCATCCATACAGTTTCACTAGATTGCGATGTTGCACTACAGAAATGGTAGCAATTTCAGCTATAAACTGACGGTTTACATGGTTAGATGCTACCGAAATTTGCTTCACAGCTACTACTCTGCCATCCAGAAGTGTACCCTGCAAAGTAAGACATCTCAATGCCATAATAAAACAACATTATTTATTCCAAAGAATCTGAAACATTATTATCACTTTGTGAGGTAAATTGATTATTATGAAGTACAAAGGATGAGAATAACTCAAACATACCTTGTAAACGACACCATATCCTCCCTCTCCTAGCTTATTAGAAGGACTAAAGTCTCCTGTAGCAGCTCTTAGTTCAGCATAACTAAAAGTATCTGGACGGGGGCCTATTCCAACGAGTTCTGCAGATTCAAGCCCAAATGTAAGATATAAGTACTAGTAGTAAAGATACAGTGAGAACGCTTTTTAAGTCCCTATTAACATAACATGCAGCAATGGTGGTAAATAGCTCTGCAGATCTATATATCGAATCCTCTAGAAGGCGGCTGAATCTGTTGGTGTGAATTGACAGGACATATGACATTGCTCCTTTTAATCTCTTACCTTCGTCATTGGCAAGCGATTTTTTCCTGCAATAAAATATCACCAACAGCAAGAGAAGGCCCACAACCACAGAAGAAACTACAACACCAACGATCAAACCTGTCCTATTCTCTCCTCGAGTACTTGATCGAGTCCCCACTGTAGGTTTAAAATCTGAGCCAATAATGTATATAAATACATGGGAAATGGAAACCAGTGAAGCAAATTTAAGCAATTGATTTGGATACTTGCATACCGAAATATAAGTTACCTGAAGCAGCATGGACAGCTGCTATTAATGGACCGTAGTAACCTTCTTTAGGTATACAACAGGTCCCCTTACCGGCCCAAAACATATGAATTTCAAGATAGTTTTCTGACACCGTCGCATTGAATTTCTTCGCTATTGCTCTCTCAACCCCACCTGCCTCTTTTGCAATGTTAAAGTCCTTCAATTCGAGACTTCCCTAAAAAGAAAAATGATGCGAGAGTAAATAATTCTAGTTTCTGCACGCTCATGAAATAAACTTTTAGAAAAACTTTTCTTGGAGCTGGATCTTAACTAGATCTGTTTTATGTTTTTTCTTTTCTATGGTACAATTACCTGAATATAAATATCAAACACACGCCTTGCTAGACCAGCCCACGTCTCTGAGTTTTGATTTGGAAAACCAATTTCCGCAAATTGCAAGGTTACAGTGTAAGGTCCATTTTCAAGACCAAGGCCATAGTACCTTAGCGATCCTGGGGACATCCTTGCAGTATGGAAAAGATCCGGGTTCTCATTAGTACCGCTGATTTGTGCCACAGTGCCTTCAAGATCTAGCTTCCCAGTTTTGTCAGCATACAAGCCCGCCTTGCTAACTGCCCATTTCTCATTGCTTACATAAAACTTGGCTGGGCCAAGAACTAGGTCGTCAGCTTCATACACTATGTCACCTCTTCCTATCACCTGTGGTCCACCACACTTGATTGAGAAGCTAGCATCTGTGATATTCAATAAAATATAGATGCCATGATTAATGAATCATAAAAAATGAAAAACAGAACTGTACAACTTTTTTGGTAACTTGGTGCAATATGTGGTCAAATCAAAGCGTGAATAAGTTACTTTGACAGTGCAATATGCTTTATTCACGCCGTTAATCATTCATTTTTGTCGTGTTTCATCAATAAATATACAACAACAATAATAAAAAATAAAAAAAATAAAAAAAAAAAACCTGGCAAATGAAGTTTTCCTACACTTAAATGGGTTTACAAGAATAGACACAACACAATGAAAGGAACTTGATTGCATTCTTATTCAAGGCTCGGGATGGATAGTTTTCAAAACAGAGAGATAATAAATCTCACATGCTATCAGTAAAATCTAATTGTTTTTATCACATTCAAGTTCGAATGGAGAAAAAAATTGAAACAGCAGTGCTTATATGTAACTTGATACTTCACCAAATTGAAAAAAAATTATCTAAGTTGCAGGGATTTACAGAGTGGGCTATCTCTATTGCAAGGAAAGTTTCTCTGGAGACAATCCAGTCCAGGCATAACCCTGCAAGAGAAATTGACAGGCATTGCATAAAGACATTCATTAAAGAAGAAAACGAACATGTAATGAAAATTCAGAAATGCTTTTCTTGTTGAAACTCACGTTTTGTTTGAGTTGTCAAATATGAAGTTGTTGGCCACTAGGTTCCTGCACAAATTTACTCCGGTCATGCTCCATACTATATGCTAAAACCTACTAAAGTTGCAAAGATGTACAGATTTTCATAGTTATTTTGTGCTTTAACGTGATGCCAGAAAACATAATTCACATGTGCAATGTAACATAGAGAGAAGCATTGTGCGATCTGTAAGAATGAGAGAGAGAGAGAGAGAGAGAGATACAGTTGTGAGATGGAGGTTACCCATGGGGGCAAACGTCCTGATAGGTAATTGTAAGACAAATCTCTGTACACATAAAAATATATAAGCGAAAATGATTAGACAAATATACAATGCACAAAAAACTTTCAAGAGACTTTCAATCCGCAAGAGAGTAAATCAGATAGCAATCAAAGTAGTACACTTTTTTACCCATAAAAAAGTAACAAAAAATAACAAATAACTACTTAGGGGGTTTCTCAAGAGTTTAATTAGCAAACAACTTGAGATGAGCATAAATTTAGTTGGCTGCTAGAATGATTATGATGGGGAACAACTGTAACGATTAACGAAGTACCCTACTGCTATCTATCTTTAAATTTTGAGGTGATAACTGTGCAATAATAGGCACAAGCAAATTAGAGTTCAGCCGTTCTGACCATTCTTGGGTGATATGGCTACAGGGGACTAAATGATTGTATTTAAGGATGTGGCAGAAGCCAGAAGATGAAGACTCTCTTTGGATATTCTTGTGGATTTTCATAAATAAAGGGTCTTAGGATTTCCTTTAGCAATGATGATATGCTTCATTCTTTCTTCTTCATTTTCCTTCAACGACAACGTCTCATTTCTTTTGCAAAATTTTATTATCTCAACATTAACCGTCATTTTTTGAATTAAAGAAAAAAATGCATCCAATAAAATAAAATGCAGTCTCTTAAATGCAGAATTATGTTTTTTTTTTTTTTTAATGATAATAAACAGAGAAACCTTTATTGATGAGAGTAAAATCAAGGCAAGGTGAAGAGGATGAGAGATCCTCAAAAATGGGAAAAGAAAAAAAAAACAACAACAACAACAATAACAACAACACTACAAAAAACTAAGAAAAAACACAGAAATAACTAGCTAGAAAACAAAAACACAAAAAAAAACCTCACTCAAGAATTCAAAACATCCCTCCAACTTAACAGTATCTTAAAATCACATTCCAAGTTTCACAAAGTAACCTAAGTTCTACAAAGTAACCTATTCATTAGGATGGCTTTTACTTCAAAATATTAATGATACTACAACACAAGGACTTACATATTCTGAAGTGAATCACTCCATTGGACGGGAAGGCTTCCAGACAAACTATTGTTCCCAAGAAATCTGGCCATGTCAAGTGATAGCGCAAGAGAAGGCACCAAAAAGAAAGAACAAAATAGAAAATGTCAAGTAATGCCGTGGCAGGTGTTAGCTATAATGCTAAAGACATTGCTCGACTATTTACAAGTGTGTGAGAGTCATATTGAACAGCGAACTTGGTATCTCGCCTGTTAGGTTATTGAAACTCAAGTCCCTGCAAAGATTAATGGAAAGTTACAAGAAATAAATTGAATAGAAGCTATTTTTATTCAAACATTAATTTTGGCACTAAGTTTGTGAGTGAGAACGTACAGTTTTAGTAGATGCTGGATTTCTCCAATATCAGATGGAATTCTACCAGTAAGTAATGCATTTCTTAGAACTCTGGAAGAGGTGGGGAAAGTAATAGCATAGTTAGTGCCTGTAGGTAGAACATAAACGAAAAACAAAAATTATGGTTGATCGTGAATTGAGAAGTTTGCTAACTTACAACTCTGTCAAGTTCTTCAAATTTTTGACGAAATCAAGAGAGGAGCTCCCGTTATAGATATCACTTATTCGCCTACATGATTATAATAACAAACTGATGCAGAACTAGAGAGGGACATAAAATAAGGAATAGAGAAAGGGAAAAGGGGGGAATTTAGAGAGAAGGAGATAGAAATAGAAGAGAAATTAGGGATTTAGGAAAAGAAATTGAGATAGAACTTGAGAGAGGAAAGAGGAAGAAGAATATAAGAGGGAGAAACAATCTGATAACACTTTTAAATAATTCAAGCCATAGTCTGCCTTGTCTATAAAAGTATAGCCAATTAGGCTAATTACAAAACCAAAACAGGAAACTAATTAAATGCATAAAATCATACAGAAATAAGGAAAGATCGAATAAAAAATCAATCCGAATCAAATCTAATTTGTTTTCTATGATTTCCTTCTTCAAAGTCAACTTCTTATTCTGATCAAAAACATAGTTTAAACTACACTTGTTTCCACAAGGGAGAAAGAGACTTAAAATTGTATTCTAGCTCAGATATATACTTACAGAGACTCCAATGAGGTCAATTGAGAAAAACTGGATGGTATAGGACCTTCAAGAGAGTTCCCTTGAAATCTCCTACAAAAGCAAGTAGAGGCTTGTTAAATTAAATATCTATCATGGTAATGCTGGTGTGTCTATTTTAGTAAAAACACCATAAAAACAGAAACTTTTCTATTTTAGTAATGGCACCATAAAAACAGAATGTTTTAATTTAGTAATAACACCATAAAAACAGAAACTTTTCATGCTTACAAAGAAGTTAGCCTAGTCCAGTTTCCAATGAAGTCAGGTATTTTTCCTGAGATAGGACTGTCTGATGCCCACCTGATATCCAACAAGCCAACTTATACTAAGCTACGTTCAAGAAAATTAATCTTTCAGTACAAGAAGAAAGAAATAGTTTTGAAACGTTATATGCAGAAGGTTCCTTACATGATCCCCACATTTTGAAGATTAGCAAATGTGGATGGAATTTCACCACTGATTCCAGAGCTATCCAAGTAACTGTGGAAAGCATGAAGTGATTTTCAATCAATTTCATATGAGATACATGCATTTCGCAAAATGTTCCTTACATATTTAGGCTAGATTGAATTGAAATACAAATAGAACATCCAGTCTATAAAAAACTTTTATGTGGAGACTTACATGTTAACACATTATATTGCCAAATACTTTTTATCAAGGATCACAAATTGCAGAGAATATTGAAACTCTTTTTCTTTTTTTTCTTTCTTCTTTTTTTTTTTTTAAAAAAAAGTAAAGCTTTAATTGAAACTCTATAATTACTTGTCCCGAGATGATCCAACTAGAGAATCTTAAGAACTGCTTCCATAAATCATTCAACCCTTCAATTATAAAGAGACTTACATTTGTTGAAGATTGACCAAATTACCAATCTCTGGGGGGAGTGATCCAGAGAAATTATTTGATCCAATCGAGCTGCGCTCCACATTTACAAGCCAATAAAATTATTTAGAAGGAAGCTATGGCGCTAACATAGGTAATTATGCATAAATAAACACTAAAGTAGGGCTGTTCACACAGTAGCTGTTATGCCACAACTGGCACCGTAAGTATCAGAATTACCACTTCGAGAACATCTAATGCACAATATTGCTAGGAAGACTCCACATATAGGAGAACAATTATAAATGCTAGAATCGGAAACTGGTTGAGTGCATATTATGTGCATGTGTAGTTAGTGTGTGTGTGAACCAATAAAATGCAGAATGTAAGAAATTTCAACCAGATCCTTAAAAGAGAGAGAGAGAGAGAGAGAGAGAGAGAGAGATCCTTAAAAGAGGAAGAAATAGAACCATAAAACAAAAAAGTAAACAATCCCAATTCCACATGGTTTTGTTATGATCCCTTTGACACGGGCAGGTCTCTCAGAAAGAGATTTTTCAAGATCATGCTCTAAATCATTTTTTGAATAAAGAGTGTACATGTAAATTTAAGTCATTTGATATCTTACAGCATATAGAGACCCTTAAGCTTTCCAAGCTCCTTAGGAAGTGATCCGTAGAATGCATTGTGGGAAACAGACCTGACAGGAACCACCAACAAATACACTTCATCAGAAACTTGAAACTTTTCTGGAAGTATTACTAATCAAAAGAAAATCTGAAATATTAGAGTTTGAATCACACATTCACAAACTAGTCCTAGCATACTTTTGCACCTGCTTATATTCGAGTGAGACATAAACAAAATACTGAAACAATAATTTCCACATCTTTAACCAGAAGGATCATCCCTATATAAATGCTAATTTAAAATTAAGGAGAGTTGGCAATCCCTATTAATCCCGAGTGAGACATAAACAAAATAAAAGGCTAGCAAATAAAGCACATAAGTGGATGATGACCGAGTAGAAAGTGAGATGCGAAAGTTCCACAACAACGAGGAAACCAACTAGCATATTTTTTTTAACTGTATTGGATAAAGTTTATATCTAGAATACTAAAATAGATATGAAATCAAGCACGAGTGCAAAAAAACCTTTGCAAGTTTTGAGAATTCTGTAGAAAAACTTTTAACTCAAAGAAGACTTTGTTCTCCGATACTCACAATATTACCAGTGCAGACAAATTTCCAATAAAGGCAGGCAAAGTACCGGTGAAGTAGTTCTCATCAATCTTGCTGCAAACATATGAAAATGAATTATTATTGTTAGTAGGATGAAAAAGATGAATATCGGCTTTGACAAACCAAACACAAAAGAGAAATTAATTGGAAAGGAGTCCATACAAAACTTCCAAATATTTCAAAGTCGTAATTTCTTCTGAAATCACTCCATTTTTGTCCAAAGCGTGCACTCTCCTGAAATAATAAACAACCAACTAAGCTATGACAAAGAAATTATTTTTTCACTTACACAATTACATTCTATCCTACAGAATAAATTAAGCAACAATAGGTGCTAAATACAAATGTTTCGTTGCTATTATTAAGCCCTTTGTGAACAGTTCTCACCATGAGACAAATCTAGTAGGTATTATGATAATATTTTCCTTTTCCAGAAAGAATTAATAAATATAGAACCAATCTTATTCTCAACACTTCCCTTAATATAAAAAGCATGTAATCTTAAAGTCTCCCCTTGTTCAACATAAAAGTATACCAACGCACAATTAATGTTCGCAGAAAAAAGGAATGCTGTTTAAAAATTCAGCATTTATGTTCTTTCCATAGGTATTTAGTGTTACTTCCGAACCACCAATCATGCCTTTCTTCCCAATTGAAACATACCATTGAAAATGATGCATTGTTGACGTTGAGCTTGAGCACATTAACTTTAGAGAAGACTTTCTTTTTAACCAGTATATATCACTTGACACAAACAAACCATCAAATAGTAACATGCGCCTAGTACTAAATGATCTAATAATTCATTTTTCACTTGAAACAAACCAAATCAACACTATAAATTTTTCATATGAAATGTGAAAGGACTCTCATGTTACTCTTAAGAGTTAGCAGAAAGAGAAGAAAAAGAAAAGGGGGAAAAAAAAAACCATACAGTTTAGTGATGTGGCAAGTCCTGTTATTGTCGTAGGAACAATTGCATTTAATCGCCGGATTGTTATCACTGCTCTCAAACTCTGTCTCATCTATAGCAGATCCACTGCATGGTTCTCCACTTATGTTCCATGAGGGTATTGCTTGTAAGTCCCATTGTTGAAATAGTGAATTCAGTGCTTTCACTGCCTCATTGAGTCATATCAGAAAATCATTCATACAACACTCACTCCAACACACATTGAAAGTCCAGAATTCAAAATAAAACCATTTGATGTCACCATAACGAATAACTCATGTATATCAAAGTCCATACTAATAATGATTGTATAGTTATTTAAGAAGTTGGTGGAAAAGGTTATTAAGATAAGAACAAAAATTTGATTTGTTCAAACTACAAAGGTAGGTAAATGCTTAAAGAAAGTTATGTGTAGAGTTGTAGATAAAATATATTTGTAGTGTTGTGAATATCCATAATGGACCAATTCCAAAGGATAAATAACAACATAGAAAACCAACCAAAAAGAAAAAAACACATTAGCGGCAACAAAATCTCAGAAGGAAGCAAAACCGAACAAGCAGCAGAGAATGTGATACTTTGTTGCTTCATCTACCTCATTTGCAATAATAATAACATCAAAATTCAAAACAAATAAAGTATAAAAGAAGACTGATTCCATCTTTGCACCAACCACATCTAGATCTCTAGAAAATTAAGTACTTTCCTTTTTATATACAATATTAGCAATAATAGAAGTGCTTGATCTTAAGAGCTCATGAAAAGATAAAACAAGGGTAGCAGGTAATATTTTATGTTCCTAGATGTCCTTAGATCAATGAAGTTAATCAAATACACATAATATGATATTGTCCGTGATTAGCAAAATAATTGGGACTGTGCCACTGACCCCACTAACGTGACTGACAGAATACTACTTCAGAGAAAAGACAATCATAATGCAGAAGAGAATCTCAAGTTTGTGAAATTTGCAGATATTTTTCTTTCTGATTGCCTTAACTTAGAGAAACAAAAAATTTACAAAATCTAAAAACCACTTAAAATAGGACATTGTTGAGGCAGAATTTAACTCAACAAAAGAGTAAATTTTTTGTTTTCTTTTTCAAGGAATTTTCATTTAACATGAAAAACAAAAACCCAGAGCAGAAAACAGAAAGAATACCAAAACCCCACATAGCAACCGGAAGAACAAAAAAGAAAACTTTGCACTATTTGTGACTGGATCAACTTTAGTTTTTATCTCGGTGAAAAACGCCTTTAGTGTGTGTGTGTGTGTAAACAAGGAATCTGAAATGGGTCATGAAGCATATAAATTATGGCATAAAAGTAACCCGTTTAGCAAGGAAAAAAAAAAGTAAGGAAATGCAAAATTAGAGTGTGAGAAGAAAAGGGTAATCAGTACCTTCAGAAGGGTCGGTGGAGGCGTTTTGAGCTTCTGATTTCTGAGATGATAATAAAATGATGAAGAAGAAGAAGAAGTTCCAAAAGCGAGAAAACAATGAAGAAATAGTCGGCTTTTGGAGTATCATTGTCTCCTTCTCTGCCCTTTTAAGTTACTGCAGATAGATACATGAGAAATGTGAAGAAGAAAACAAAGGCAAATAAGAAAGCATACAAGTTTCGGCTGCTGCTAACGATTTTCGACACTTGGAACATGTGTGTGTGTATATTTAAGGAAAGAAGCGGCCTTATTGCTTTGACTTTTGCGTTAACTTGCATATATTTCCAACAAAACAGTGGAAATAGTTACACCTACTTATTCTTTAAATAAAAGAGAGAGGGAGAGATAGACAGAGAGACAGAAAAGTAAACCGACATGAAAATATATATATATATATTTTTTTTTTTTTCAATTCTTTGGTCAACCAAAAATTATGAAACTTAAAAGGAAAGTCCCATGATAAAAGAAGGATTGATTATGATTCTTTTTTAGAGTTTTACTGGTTGTCTTATCATCAATAGTCTTATTAGAGAACTCTTTTTTTGTTCTATATAAAGATACGGAGATTTGTGTCCCTTAATAAATATTTATCTCTCTATGGGTCTTAGGCTGATCCACAAATAAGGTCTATTTTTTGTGAAAACACTAGGAATATGTTAAAAAAATATTTAAAAAAAATGGCCGTAAACAGACGAGGTGGAGCTTTCCCACACAATGGAATATCGTGCACGTAATTATATCTATATGAGCCATTATTTGTATATTTTGAAAGGGACATTTCCATTTTTCTTAATTGGCTTTAAATGAAAATAAATTAAAAATTAGGGGTAGAAAGAATGGTTTAGAAAGTTATAAAGCACATCTTCTCTTAAGTCTTCTCTTAGTTATAAAATACATTTTTTTTTTTTTGCATTAATTGAGTATTAATATGGCATAGCCTGCGTATATAAGCTTCCTGCTGCTGTCAACTGTCGAGAAAATCCTCATGATCCATAAGTTTCAACTGAAAGCTAGTTTGACATTTCCAATCTCATGGTCCTGAAATTCCTAACTAACAATTACTTGGACATTTCCAATCTCTTTCCTCCGCTTTCTTATTCAACCTAATGCACAATAATAAATGCTAGATTTCTCTTGAATTTTTCAGAAACTTTCAGGTTTAGTCCCGTTCATTTTACCGATTCGAGTTTAGAATTTGAATTTTATTACAATAAAAAGTTCTCAGAAACAGTCACATCTAATTTTTTTACTATAGTAAAAAACTCTCATATAAAATCACATCTCAACTCGAATTAAAAACTCAAATCAGCGAACTAAGCCGGCCCACCAAAAACTAGTCGGCCACATGTATCGGATAACTTTGAAATTTAAGAAATAGATCGTTGAAAAAAAAAAACAAAACAAAATACGAAGAATGTTTGTTGTACAAGACTGATTAATTATGTACACACAATATCCGTTGAAGAAATGTAGCTTTTATAACGATAATAGTGTCGGCCGACAACACCTTGTGTCTCTGATGTTCACCGTCTCATCGTTGAAAAGGTGTTCGTCATTAAAATAATTAAAAAAAAACAGCCATATAACTTTTTTCTATTACTATCACTGATGTTCCTAAAATTTAAGATTATTCTCAATTTATTTTATAAATTTTAAAAATTTTTATTTTATCTTATGAATTTTAAATTATTTGCACTTAATCTTTTTTGTACTAATTTTATTAAAAACAAAAAAAAAAGAGAATTACGCAATCACGTAGTCTTTTTATTTGAATTTCTATTAAAAAATCACATGATCACACCCTTCTTTTTCTGTCTAATTTTAACAAAAATTAAAAATTAAGTGAGAACAATTCAAAATTCAGAAAGTAAAGTAAAATTTTTTAAAGTTCAAGAAACAAATTAAAAATGACTCTAAAGTTCAAAAACATTAGTGAGAATAATCTTTTTTTTATACAACACGAAATTAAACCTATAATTCCCCACCTAAACCCCTAGTGCCACTAGATTAAGAGGTCTTAGGCTCATATAATTTGTTTTTTTCCAACAAAGTTCCGTATATAACTATCAGAATTCAGCTACTCTCAAAAATAAAATAAAATAATATCAGAATTCACAACGACCTAATTTGTTCATCGTCAAATTAAAAGTTTGGACACACTTTGTATAATGTAAAAAAAAAAAAAAAATGGCTCTCTCATACATTAAAATAGACAGATACGCCAAACAGACAATGAATTTAATTGGAATAGTTTAACAATGAAAAACATCTATACAACATCAAACAAGACGTGTAAAAACATCAAACAAGTAACCATTGGAAAGCTAGTCATGATCCTAACTCGTAGAGGAACAAAATCCAAGTTTTTTTTTTTATTATTATTGTTATTTACTGTTGTTATTTTTCATGCTGTCTCTCACGTAGAGTAAGAGAAAAGATGGCTACTTTGTTTCGATGAACTGTGTGAAGTATCCGCCGTGTCGCTTGAAAAGACACTAGTAGTCGTATCTTTAAAATCCAAATCTGTGAGATAACTCGGCTTTGATTTGGCAGTGTCTATCTCGATATCTCCAGAAAGCATGCCGACGACACGCGACATAGGCGGCCGCAACCATGGCGATGCTTGAGTGCACAAAAGTGCCACTCTTATCAATCTGATGGCTTCATTTTCATCAAATTCAGATAAGGTTGGATCCATCAGCTCCAAGCTCTGGTCATTTTCGTATAAGGTCCATGCCTGAAAACAACAATACTTTGATGGATTGTATATTGATGCAAGTTTGGAAAGAGTATAAGGAGAAACATGCAATGACTTTCTTTTTTTTATTTTTTTATTTACCCATTCAAGGAGATAAATCTTCTCATTATCCAGGCTATTGCAGAAGTTAGGCCGCCCGCTGACAATCTCTAAAGCAACGACACCAAAACCAAACACATCAGCCTTTTCCGTTAGGTGCCCGCGCAAGGCATATTCGGGTGCCAAATATCCTCTGCAAAATCATGCAATGTGGCTCATTAATCTTGTCATTTAATGTAATAAGAACACTAATGCTAAGGTTTAATTGTATGGTTCGTCCATAAATTATTGCAGAAGTTTTGTTTTTCTCAAACTTCAAAATCAGGGGCATTACTAGTCCATGGACTTGCTAAAAAGCTCATCATTGATCATTACACATAAAGATAAAGGGAATAAACCCAGAATTTTCTCAAAGTTTAGGATAACTAATTCCTGCTCATAAAAAATAAAAATGACTATTTAGCTCTTTAACAAGAAAATAAAAAATAAAGAACTATGTCCCCGTTCGTTTCACTGGTTTAGCTAAGTCAACTCAGTTCGAACAGTGAGCACAGTTTAAACTCCCATTTGGTAAGCACGCAATCTGAATTATATTACTTGTTGAACTGAGTTAAACTGTCCAACTTAGAGTTTAGCTTCCCCCTAAAGATCAACTGTTTAAACCATTTTTAAACAGTAAAAAAGTGTCCACTATCTCTGCTATTCACACCTACCAAACACAAATTCAAATTTTTATTCCTTGTTTAGATTATAACTTTAACTGCACATCCAAATACCAATTCGAACCGCAATTTAAACTACAAAGTTTGAATTTTTCTGTTCAAACAAAAAAGTTCAAATAAAAAAAATTCGAACAAGCGAATCAAACGGGGGCTATGTTTATTGTTTAGACTACTGTTTCTTGATTTCTTTGAAGGACTACTGTTCTTGACTTTAAAGTTTGGACTAAAACCAAACTTTTAACACAGTTTATGGAAAAATCAAAGGATTAATTCATCTTTTTTCTTTTACTGCGATACTATCACATTAAGTAACTAACATTTTACGACAGTTTTGAGTTGAAAGAGAGCTTACATTGTCCCTGCGACTCGTGTGCTGACATGGGTTTTGTTGTCATCATAGAGCTTTGCCAATCCAAAATCTGATATTTTAGGACAAAGTACTTCATCAAGCAAAATATTACTAGCTTTGATGTCTCGATGTACAATCCTTGGTCTGGATTCTTCGTGAAGGTAAGCAAGTCCTCTTGCTGTTCCCGCACATATATTAAAGCGGGTAGGCCAATCCAGGTGCAAGTCATTCTTTCCTGCAATGAGGCAATGGTTTATTCAATCAAATGAAACTATTGCACAGATAACTCTACAACATAGACTACAAAAAATGCACCACAACTGATTTATAGGGTGATACGGCTCGAGACACTTCTGATAACTGCAGACTGCAAACATGTACTACGTTTTTAGGGAATCAAATTTTAAACTGTATGATATCCAACAGCTTCATACCGAATAGTGCTCGATCAAGACTTTTGTTCTCAAGATATTCATAAACCAAGATGCGTCTATTTCCTTCAATACAGCATCCGTACAATTTTACTAGATTGCGATGTTGCACAACAGATATGGTGGCAATTTCTGATAAAAACTGGCTCCTTCCATGGTGAGATGCTACAGAAAGTTGTTTAAGAGCCACAAACCTCCCATCTGAAAGAGTACCCTATATAAAGTAGTACATTTAAGTGCCATGACAATAACAATAACAATAACAATAATAATAATAATAAAGAAAAAGAGAATGTATTTAGTGAAAAGAAGCCGTGACACTTGGTTCCTACTCAAAATGTAAACTTATTCTTTTAAAGCAGAGAACAATAATACAAGACCACATTTACCTTGTATACATGGCCAAATCCTCCTTCCCCTATCTTATTTGAAGGATTGAAGTCTTCTGTGGCAGCTCTTAGTTCAGTATAACTAAACATATTTTGTTGGGGGCCTAAACCGAGAATCACTGCAGATCAAAGCAAGAACAAAGCTTATAAATAACTGATATGACCATGAAAAAGACATTGACCATAAGGTGATTCTAATATGATATTACCTTCTTCATCCTCATTGTTTGATTTTCTCCTCATATAAAATACCGCAGCAAGTAACAGAAGGCAGACGAACACAACAGGGACTGTAATTCCAAGTATCAAACCTGTTTTATTGTCTCCTTGAGTAGTTTCTCTAATCCCAGAAAACGTAGGTGTGAAATCTGATCAATAAGATTATGTAATATGTCAGTAGCAAATAGAATTAGTGAAGCATATGAAGTCATGTATGACATTATTTACCTGAAGCAACATGGATAGCCGCTATCAATGGACCGTAGTAACCTTGTTCCGGTATGCAGCAGGTACCCTTACCAGCCCAGAATAAATGGATTTCAAGATAGTTTTCTGAAACAGTTACATGGAATTTCTTCACTATTGCTCTCTCTACCCCACCAGCTTCCTTTGCTATCTCAAAGTCCTTTTGTTCGAGACTTCCCTGAAAGGAAAATGATGGGTCAATAACTGTATCGAAAATCTTTGCTCAGTACCCTTCATCTTTTTTCTTTTTGTACATTATATTTACCTGAATATAAATATCAAATATGCGCCTTGCAAGTCCTGCCCACTTCTGCGAGTTCCGATTTGGGAAACCAATTTCTGCAAAGTGCAAGGTTATGGTGTAGTTCCCATTCACAAGGCCAAGACCATAGTATCTTAGCGATCCTGGGCACATCCTTGCAGTATGGAAAAGCTCCGGGTTCTCAGTGGCGCCACTAACTTCTGCCCGGGTACCTTCAATATCTAGCTTACCTGTTTTATCAGCGAACAAACCCACCTTGCTAACTGCCCACCTCTCATCTATTACATAAAACTTGGCTGGCCCAAGATATAAGTTTTCAGCTTCATACACTATGCCAGTTTTTCCCCTCACTTGTGGTCCCCCGCATTTGATTGATAAATTTGCATCTGGAGATCCCATACAATAAGACTGTCATTATTAATGCTTCATAACAACATTATTGTTCCTAATATTTTACTTTATTATTCTCCTGAAAATAACTGCATGTCCGTTTCAACCATAAATTATTCTGTTTGTCATCTTTAATTTCTCGGCACGGAGACAAAGTTATAAGTACTGCCTCTATCTGTAACTAACTAGACATTCAATCAAATTGACAAACAATAAGTTTGATGAAAGTTATTCACATAGTGGGGCATCTCTGTTGCATGGAAAGTTTCTTTGAAGACAATCCAGACTGGGAATAACTCTGCAAGTGAAACAAACAGTTACTAACTATCAAGAGTGAAAGAGAAAGTACATTAAACTGGAGAAATGTTTACTGTCATGCACTCACGATTTATTGGAGCTGTCAAATACAAAATTGTTGGCTACTAGGTTCCTGCAAAAATTGTCTTTGATCATATTATGTGTGATGCATGCTAATGCACTCATTTCCATGTCCCCACGCATGATAAAGAATGTGGAGGAGCACTGTGGTAGATGTAAAAGATGAACAAGAAAAAGAAAGAGACATACAGTTGCGACAATGAGGTCACCCACGGGGGTAAACTGCCGGATAGGTAATTATAGGATAAATCTCTGTACAGATTATAGTACACATATAAGAAAAATTAAATAGACATATGATGCATAAAAGAACAAAAGATGGAAGCAATAGTAATAGTTCAAGTCTTGTAAGTGCACTTGAAAGGGCTAAATTTGCCAGGGATATGTTTAGCAGAGTACATTTGCAACTAGATTCAAATTCAATATAACATTGTGATACTAACACAAGAAACTTACACGTTCTGAAGCTTGTCACTCCATTGGCTAGGAATGATTCCGGACAAACTATTGTTTCCTAGAAATCTGCTCATTTCGGTGCACCACATGAGAAAATGCCAAGAAAGAAAAGTAAAAAACGAAAAGAAATAGTTATGAGGTTGGCTTGGAGAAAATTTAAGTTTGAAAAGGTGGAAGCATGCTAAAGGAAACAAAAAGAAAAATGGTAGTCATAATGAAATTTCAGCTTAATCATTTACAAGCATGTGAGATTACTCAGGGTGAACAACGAGCTGGGGATCTCGCCTGTCAAGTTGTTGAAACTCAAATCTCTGGAAAGATCAAGAAATTAAAAATATTTGTGTGAGACAATGACGAGGTGCAGGCAACTTCTGTAAATCAATGTACTTTGATGTTCAAGTTCATCGGTCTGTTGGAACATACAATGTTTCTAGACTTTTGAGTCCTTCAATATATGATGAAATCCTACCAGTTACCAAAGCATTTCTCAGAATTCTGTTGAAGGGAAAACAGGAAAAAAAATAAAAGCAATTACCGCATTTGTAAATGGATGTAGAATATGCACACTATAAAACAGAATAATAACTTTAAATCAACATGTATAATGTAATTGAGGAGTTTGTCATCTTACAACTCTTTCAACTTCTTCAAGCTTCTGACAAAATCAAGAGAAGAACTACCCTTGTATATATCACTGATTCGGCTGCATAATTATAAAGAACCATAACCAAAGCTAGTCTCATTTCTGTGGGGAAGGAGAAAAGGAGAGTTTGCGACATATACGACATATATACTCACAGCGACTTCAATGAGGTTAATTGAGAAAAACTTGATGGTATAGGACCTTCAAAAGAGTTTCCTTGCAATCTCCTACAAAATCATTTGAGAAGCTTGTAAACCTAAAATTCCCATCACAAATTATGCTGATCTTTATTCATAATATTACAGCACTATATATGGATCCAGGATCCTTACAGTTCAGTTAGATTTGTCCAGTTTCCAATGAAGTCTGGTATCTTTCCTGAGAAGGGACTGTCTGTTGTGTATCTGATATTCAACAGGTGAATTTTGGTAAGTAAATAAGCCAAGCAAAGAGTAAATTTTTAGAACAAAAGGGGCCAACAAATATTAAAACAAGATGTTATCCTTACAATACTCTCATGCTCCGAAGGTTAGCAAATGTGGGAGGAATTTCACCACTGAGTCCACAACTGTCTATGTAACTGCAGAAATGAAATTGAACTTCATGATTTTCATACTATAACAAATATGCTCACAATCATAAACTTAGATAAGTTTTTTGTTTTTTTTTTTTTTTTGGTAGTTTAGACATGCTTAAGTTGAGCAAGTGTGAAAGGTCCTTACTTGTACTCTAGTACTTCTAGACTACTACTTATGTCGCTCTTACAGACGAGAGAGAGAGAGAGAATTCTAGGGAAGGAAGTTGGCTCTGTCTTGAACCATATATGTAGCAAGTTCAGTTAATTTTGCATATTTTTTCACATTCATGTGATTTTGATCAAATCTTACTTTAAGTGGGGATACCATACCCTAGAGAGTTCAAACCAAAAAAAAAAAAAAAAAGGATCACAATTCAACTATTGATTATATCCAACTATTAGAAATTCTACTTGAAATCAGCTACGATATGCTGGAAGACCCATAAAATGGTTTTGACCCTAAATGAAAGGAGCTTACATCAGTTCAAGATTGGGCAAGTTACCAAGTTCTGGGGGGAGTGTGCCAGAGAAGTTGTTCGATCCCAAGGCACTGCAATTCATTGTGAAGAGATATAAATTAATATGTCAAAAGAATCATCAACATTGTTAAAAAATGGTGTTTTTTTGCATGAACCACACAATAGGGCTCTAATAGAAGGTGAGTCCCACAGCATGGGCCACAGATGGGGTATATCTTCTATTAGTTATGGTGTTTAGCACCAATAGTGCCATGAGTATTTTCATTTATGCATGCAATAGTTAAATTTCCTCTTAGGCTTATTCTTCTGGGGATCACAATTTGCTCTGTTATTTGTCCATTAATATTACCAACTATCTGTCCTTAACAAATTGAGAGCTTTTTAAACTCGATCAACAGTTAACGGATACATTCCAACAAAGAGTTTTTTGTTTTTGTTTTTGTTTTGTGCATGTTAAATGTAGACTACAAGTTTAACTACTTACATCATAATGAGATTCTTAAGGTTTCCAATCTCCTTTGGAATTGTCCCATAGAAATCATTGTGGGAGACAGACCTGAAAGTAGTCAACAAAAAAATATAGTCAATAATCATAACTTGCTTTTTCACTCATTTGATACAAAAATACACAGAAAATTTTGGGCCTCACGTCCTTTTTAATGTATATACTTACAATATTTGTAGTGCAGACAAATTCCCAATAAATGCAGGCAATGTTCCAGTGAAGTAATTCAAGTCAATCTTGCTGTAAAACAATATTTGAGTATTACTAATCAGTCAACTATTTTTAATAACGGAAAACCTTTTAAATTGAAAATGCATGCCCATTTAGAAAAACCAAAAAAAGAATAAAGAAAATAAAGGTAAATTAATGTTAGTTTTTGACTAGTCAAAAGCAAGAACAAAAGAGAAGTACGTGTTTGAATCCATACAAATACGTAAGATATTTCAGAGACGTAATCTCCTCAGGAATCTCTCCATGGGCGTCCAATGACTGCACTCTCCTGTATGAATAAACAATTACATTGATTAAATGCAATAATTAGTAGTGTCATTTCTTTTTTGTGTTTTTATTTAGATAAACTATAAAAGCCAACATTTTCTAGTGAACACAACAAGCAAACTTTAAGGACCTGTTTAGTTCGCCTTTTGTTTCTGCGTTTTAGAGCTATAAATTTCAGCTTTGAAAGGAAATACATAAAAACATTCCAAATCAATTACGCCAAAGGATATTACTAGCACATTTTCAAATTGAATAACATAATCAAATAACAAAACTTGACTCTCTACAAATTACAATCATTTTTTTTCCTAACAATTCAGAAATTAACTACCATACCCCGCCTCAGCGAAACTAATGATTTTTTTTTTCCAATATTTTCCTGCCAAAGTAACAGATATCAAGATTTTACCACTCTGATGTAATCTCAAATCCATTATGCTCCCACGAATACGTAATCATCGTTTTCTATTGACCAACTCCATAAATATCGATGTTTAACTAAGCTTTTGATATAAAACACACACAGAAATACTTCAGAATATTGCACATAAACACTTGCATGCGTACACACACATACATAGAGAGAAATGCTAGCACCACTCTTTATGTCACTTTCTGCTATCATCACGTGGACTCCATATCATTTTCTATTCAAATAGTAATATATCGTGTTAGTGGAGTCTACGTATCAAACAATGAACGTAGAGAATGATAAAGATAGTGACAGAAAGGGTGACGCTAGCATTTCCCATAGTATATAAAGAGAGAGGTGCAACTTAAAGTTTCCACGCGGGGTTTTCTTTTTGCAAGATCAATATTAAAGAAAGTGAATTGGCATAATTGTAAACGAAGTGGACGGTCGAGAGAACATACAGGTGAGTGATATGGCAAGTGCTGTTATTGTCGTAAGTGCAGTTACATTTGATGCTGGGGTTGTTATCTTTCTGCTCAACATCTATCGTATTATTCACAGCAGATCCTGTGCATGGCTCTCCACTTATGTTCCACATGGGGTTTGCTTGTACATTCCATTTTCTGAATATTGTGTTCAATGCCCTCACTGTATTGCAGACAACGTCATTACATCACGATATTAGCTAATATTGTTTCTAACTTATATATCGTCTTTCCAGCATACAATATATGTGTGTAGGTATACATGTATATCTATATATAGGGAGAAAATCTAAATGCATAAAAAATAAAAATTAATATTCAATTATCTGAAGAAAGTAAAAATTACATTACGTGGTATAATATTTACAAGAATCCAATTCATATATAACATTTTTTTAAAAGTATTTTAGAAATAAAAATAATTAATAATTATTATAAGGATTGTCGTGTTTTATGCTACAAAATTCTGTAGTAATTATTGTAATGTCATGATTTTAATTTTTTCATTTGTAAAGTATTCTTAATTTTTGCTATATTTTAACATAACCAGAAAGATTATACTATTTGTCTAAATTTTGTCCAAATTTGCCAAAGTACGTGCCTGGATCATTCATCGATCTGGGCTCATCTCGCATCGCTTTAAGAAGTAGATCACATTCTTGTATAGGATGGTCCAAATAAGCAATGGATGCTATTAATTAATAAAGGTGTTAATTTAAGCTACGTTCATTTCACCGATTCGGGTTTAGAATTTAAGTTTTGTTACAGTAAAAAGCTCTCAGAAACAGTCACATCAAACTTTTTAACTACAGTAAAAAACTCTCACATAAAGTCACATCTCAACTTGAATTAAAAACTCAAATCAGCAAACTAAACGAACCCTTAGTTATTACTTGAAACCGCACACAATTAGAGAATCAATTTCTTAAAAAACTATCATTCACTACAAGATGATGTGATTCAAACAGAGAAAGGGTTAATAAAGGTCGTAATTTAGATTATAATATGATAATATGCCATGAAACCGTAATTTCAAGGGAGAAAATCAAAAATACCACTCAGAACAGTTCTAACTAACCTTTATGCCATCAAAATGGCATAATAAAAACGTGCCTTTTATGAAATCAGTAGAAAATAATCTTAAGTGGCACAAATTTATATTTTGAGTGATACAAAAGTAAAGATAACAACAAAAAAAACAATGGTTGTATATGTAATTTTTCTCTGATTCTTAATTTTAAAACGGAGAATTGGTTAACAAAAGTAGTAATTTAGATTATAACATGATAATATGACGAAACCGCGCACAATTAGATCGTCAATTTCTTAAAAAATTATCATTCGCAAAAGGAAAAGTCCTGTAATTCAAACGGAGAATGGGTCAACTAAATAAAGAGTTTAATGAGTCCCAACTGAACTGCTGGACCACTTAAATGGGACCCATTCACTGAAAAAGCGGCTCGATCCAATCGAGGCACTCAATAAAAAAACGACGCCTTGGTGTTTGGTGGGCCATTATACCCCACATGGCAATTGTTTTCAATTTTTTTGCCCTGAGACGCAGATGGCAGTTGATGTCAAACACCACCTGCCACTCCCAAACCAAAAACAAAGAGACATAAACGCCCCTCGGGGCGGCTAGAGTTGTAGTGGAGCCTGGGCAGCCAGCCCATGCTCTCGCATGCGGATAATTATAATAAATTCCAACTTGTTCTTTTTTATCATAATTTAATAAGTTTCGTTCAGTTCGTTGATTTGAGTTTAAAATTTGAGTTGAGATGTGATTTTATATGAGAATTTTTTTCTGTAACAAAATAATTAAATGTGATTGTTTATGAGAGCTTTTTATTATAAAAAAATTTAAATTCTAAACTCGAATCATCATCTTATTTCATAATTTTTAAAATTTATATTTATTTTGAGAAAAAAATACAAGAATTAAGAATCATAATCCAGAATAACTTTTAAAACAAACAGAGCATCCGAAGAAAAAGAAATCTAATTTCAGATGAAGATCAACTTGAAATCTTCCGTTTACAAAATGAAATGGAGGCGAAAAACAGAGACCAAACAAAAGGGTTTTTTTTTTTTTCTAACATAGTGCTGAATCAAAGTTCGTGGTATGAGTGAGAAGCGCTTGATTTGCAAACACAAATTCTGAGAAGAAAGAGAGAAGAAATTAATCAAAGTACCTTCTGAAGGGTCGGTGGTGGCGTTCTGAGCTATGCATTTCTGAGGCGAAAAGACTAAGAAGATGGAGAAGTAGAAGAGAATATAACTCCACCACCAAATCCGATTACAAAATGTTGGCCTTTTCACCCAACTCGTCCTCATGTAATATTTCTTCCTTTTTCTCCTTTCTTGGGTGAAAAACTTTTTGAGATGTTTTTCTTGTCTTCGCTAAGACAGAATAGGAAGAGAGAGGAAGGAGGTGGTTGTTTGAGACTTGGACATATTATATATATATATATATATGGGCCTTATTTTGCACTATTGTCCCCCGGTTTTCTCGATCTTCGTGACATGGCCCCTAAAGTTTTCTTCTTGACAATTGGATTCTTGAATTTAAAAATGTGTGGCAAAGAGGAGCACACACACCCATAATTGATAGTGGTGTTGATTTTTAAAACAAAATTGATATGTGACTAGGCCATTCATCGTTAATTAATAATATATAAGGTTCTGTAGCTTTTTATGCATTTAAACTTAGGGCTCGTTTAATTCGTTGATTCGAGTTTTTAATTTAAGTTGATATGTGATTTTATATGAGAGTTTTTTACTGTAGTAAAAAAGTTAGATGTGATTGTTTTTAAGAACTTTTTACTATAACAAAACTTGAATTCTAAACTCGAATCAGTGAAATGAACGAGGCCTAAATCTATCAAAATTTTAGGTAAGCTTTGAAATTAATATTATTGTAAGAACAAGTTTTGGTAAAATAGATAGAATAAACACTCAAGCTCTTAATTGACAACCCGTGTGCATGTCAAATGTTAATTCTATCAAAAGACTTTGAAAAATACCTACAATATCCATTGTATTTTTTTTTTAATTTTTCGAGATACTCCGATTATGTTATTATTAAATGTCTAAAATATATCCCTACAAATGTTATTAATCAAAAAAGTGTTCCCTATATTTTTTAAAAATATAAAAAGAAAAGGCAATTCCTAACCTAGCCATATTTTTAAAATGCCAAAATTATTCTTTGTAATTTGTATTAAATATTCGTTAATTAAAAACTTCCAAAAATCAGAAAAGTATATTTAAAAAATCATTTTATGGACAAATACAAACCCCCCTTCACAATCAGCGATGCTTCGCGAAAGCATCGTTTGGGGACTTTTCTTGCCATCTTAAAATGATTTTATTTTTAATATAAAAATAAAAATGAAATTATTTTAAAAATAATTGTATGCCCGATTCTGAAATTACGTTTAGTTGATCTTTTAATAAATTATTTTGAGTATAGTAAAATCGTATTTAGTTATATTTATGAAATTTTGTTTCAAGTACACGTAATTAATAATGTTAAATTAATGTATTAAGTAATTAATAATTGATAATTATTAATTTTAAGATTGTTAATTGATATATTAAGTGATTAATTATTAATTGATAAGTATTAATGTTAAATTAAAGGATCATTTTAAGTTTCAAGTTTTCTAATTTTAAGATTGTTTTAAATTTTCAATTAATTTATAGTTAATTAATATTTAAAATAATGTTCAATATAGAACAACAAGGGTAGCTAGGCATTTTCTATAATTTAATCAGTGTGAATGATCCTTTAGACTATTTTATTAAAAAAAAAAAAGCCCACAAGAGATATTTTAGATATTTAAGTAATATGATGGACATATATATCAATTATTTACACATAGGATATCTAATATATTTTTCTATTGCCACTGTTAATAGGGTCGTATTTATCACATTTTTTTAAATTCAAGGTTTTTTTTTTTAGATTGCAATGGTTTAAGGGAGGAAAAAAAAGCCTATTTATTGAGGGTTTGTTATTTATTACGGTTACTGTATGATTGTTTGGAGGGAGACTTCTGAATGTTGAAAGTAACAGCGTTGACAACTATTACTTTACCCAATGTGAACCATTCGATTGCTTCTGCCTTTTAGTTGCGGCAGAAAGTCATTCAGGTGATGTTTAGTAGAGGAATTCATTCCTTTATTTGAATCATAATTTATGATTCGTTACAGTATTTTCTCTTATAAAAAATACACATAAATCAAAAATAATTCTAATCACATATGTACGTGCGCATTCAAATTGTTGAATTTTTTAGGATCACGGGTGTAAATATCTTAAAAAGAAATTAGTTTTTCTATTGATTTATTATTATCTTAAAAATAAAAAGTTATTGAGCCATTTATATGGGGAAACTTTCAGGAATGC